AAATAAAACAGAATTAAAAATTTTATTTTGAAAAAATAATTTATTAATATTTATCTGATGTATCAAAATTTTCACAATGGACCATATAAAGAATTTTAACTTATCAATTACATAAATTTATTTTAATTTTACATATACAATATAATATAACTAATAATATAATAGATATTAAGTAATAATATATAATATAATATAATATAATATATAATATAATTAATAATGTAGCTTTTTAAGACTATCACTTTATGATTTTAATTATTATCTTTCTTTAATTGCTCATGAAATGATCTCCTTTTCATAAAATACCACATGATAATTCCTTAATATTAAGCATATGCCAAGGAGAAATGAAATAATATAAAATGAAATAATATAAAATAATATATCTAAAAAAATATAAAAGAATAGAGTAGTCACGAAGAATTAAAAGAAAGGGGTGCTTAAAGTGTTTTGTTAAGCTACCGCCTTTATATATTTACTTTTGACCCACCCAAACCCGTGTTTACCCGTGAATTTGATTAATGGTTAAGAAAAAGACTTATGTTATTTTGATTGATACGATTATTGTCCCGATTAATTGTTATAACCTTTAAAGCTTTTGTTTATAAAAAGCAACGTTAGAACTTATTGATTGTAAAGAATCCCTTATAAATAATTAAATAAAACCTTTAAAATTATAAATACCTGCATTATCCTTTTTAACTCGAAAAATCCCCATAAATAATCCCTAACCAACACCCATAACGATATTCGCAGATATCGGCACAGCCTTTAGACCCATAACGCCCTCATAACGTTTAATAACTCGCCTAACCTTACCTATCATAGAAAACCTGTAACACCATACATTCGCATAATATCATTAACTAAAAGAGCACGAGCATATCGATATGTTATTTTTCATAACAATAATAAGGTAAGGTATCTTTTTCAATTGGAATCGGATAATGTTTCGAATCTAGTTCGTTAAATAGCGCATAATATAAAAATAAAAAGAATTGCCAGCTTGCGATAAATTTTCGTTCGTAAAAAATGAACCGATCATTTTGGGACGTGATACTTCGCGACCCAGTGATAAAAAAATAATTAATAAAATAATGATCAAAGGAAATTCATAAAATTTCAAATTATGATTGATCATTTGATTTTTTCCCCTACGGTCGATTATACTGTATATTATATTATTTTATTGAACATCTTGGATTTGGATGATTTTGGAAGGATTCGAACCCTCATTCCGGAATCACCAGAGCAAAATCCAATCTATGGAATGCTACGTACGATCTATGAGAATTGGCTAGAAACTCGTGGAAGCTTCTTAGTAATAGAAACCACTGATTGTACCTTTGGGTAAATACTACCGAGTAGCTTTAGAAGCTATTTTAGTAATAGAAACTCACGACGAACCAAAGGGAATGGTGCTTAAGATTCTCTATTATAACCGGCAAGTAACAAATATGAGCGACCGATGGAAAATACTTTATAGAGGTGTATCTTCATCACAATGTCATCAATGTGGGTCACCACTTCCATTAAGTGATATTTCACCAACGTGACCGAAGCCACTCCCACTGTATCTTTTTCATATTAGAGTCAAGCTCAACAGGGGTGGTATTATTTCATCGACGTGACCGAAGCCACTCTCACCATCAACAAGGATGGTGTATTTAACCAACGTGGCCAATGCCAAAAAACCACCAACATTGACCGAAGCCACTCTCACCATCAACCAGGATGGTGTATTTAACCAACGTGTCTCATCCTCAACAAGGATGGTATATTGTCTCACCCTACTAGGATGGTGTATCAGCCAGAATTTTGTAATAGGACAGAATATCTGGTAAAAGCCCCCAGACGTTTTGTATCGGCCTAACACCCGGAAAAACTGCCAGAATTTTTGTGCTGACCCAATATCTGGTAAAAGCCGCCAGACGTTTGTATCGGCAAACACCCGGAAAAACCGCCGGAATTTTTATAATAGACCGATATCTGGAAAAGGCCTTACAATAATATTTGATAGAGGTGTATTCTCATCACCTTAATTGGGGGGGGTTTTATTTAAAGCAAGAAAGGAACAACCACTATCGTTATCACGATACTATACCAGAAGTTCCAACGAAAACGAGCAAAAAAAGAAAAAGAAAACTAAGATTTATCTTTTTTCAAAACAAGAAAGGAACAACTGCTATCGCTATCGCGATACTATACCAGAAGTTTCCAATAAAATAAAAATAAAGGAACAACCGCTATCGCTATCGCGATACTATACCAGAAGGTTCCAATAAAAAGAAGTTAAAGGCGTTATAAAAAAAGGGTAAGTAACAATTTTGACTAGTTAGAAACGACTCTATTCCCTTTCGATGGCGTTGGAAAAGGAGTAGAAAAAAAAGGAGTCAAAGGATAATAAACGGGGCAGTAATAATAGACTAGTTAGAAACGACCACTCCATTTTGCTTTGAAAAGGAGTAAAAAGTCAGCCAAGAGTGTAAAAACCTTAACTTTTAACCAGAGGAAAAGCCAAAGTAGAAAACTCATAAAAAGGCAACATACGGGATTGAAAAAGAATTAAAAAACCTTTTATATATCAATATCCTTTCTTTTTTTAGCTATAGGGGGTAATCAAACATGATAAGTAAAAATTATCGTAAGATGTATATAGTGACGTATGCCGTTTATTAGTGACGTTTGCTGTGACGTAACTATATACCATAAAGGCACGAAGTAGCACCCCCGAAACCTGGGGTATAACTTGGTCGTTGCACTGCAAATGGTCATCGTACGGGTAGGATGATGGAGCTAGTCCGATGTATAACGATTATCTCTCGTTTGTTTTACTATAAATCATGTAGTCAACGTACTCATTGTATAAGACGCGAGTACTGCGATGGATATTTAGTTCACAATACTGTAAATGTACGTCAAAAAAATGCTGCTGCTCTAGATGTTTCGAATATCATATATATCTGCATCTTCTAATAACGAAATTAGGTAATTAAGATCAACTATTCGAGTGGACTCCTTTTGCAAGATTTACCAGAGGTTTTGGGACAATTTATAAAGCAACCTGGAAATTGTGATCATAATGAAATAAATTCCAACGAAGTATAGAAACTGAAGTTGCGTTGAAATCATTACAAATTATTCCAGAGTTTAAACTATTCTATTTTTTACGAAGTCCAAATGGCCAAAATAATGTGCCAAACATTGTACCCAAAATTGTTCCTAAGTTCAAATGTACTAATTTTTCTAATTTGGATGTAGTTTGTTTTTGGACTATTGTTATTATAACTATTTAACATTTATATGTTCTGGACCAAATCAAAATTTGGCCCATTCTAAAATGGTCTAATTACCCCCTGGCCCATTTCATGATTTTGACTTGGGCCGGCCCATATCAAAATGTTACACTGATTATTCGATGTGATGTGCAATTTTGTCACCCAATCAATACCATTAATCGATATAATTGTTACGTTTATTAGATAATCATAAGAGCAAATAATAATAATAAAGTTAAAAGTTAAAAAATACTACTTCTTGTTTATACATTTTGACTGTAAAGGATGACACCTGGAGCCACACCCAACACCTGATCTCTTGCAAGAGTAGTGGTTAGTATTACAATTAGTTTTACAGCAATATACTGAGCATTGTACTATTGCTGAACTTTGAAACCTTGCTGCCTGGATAAGTGATATTCTGTTATCAGGTATTTTTGTCAGTTTAGTGAATGTGATGCTAACGCTCTCCATTTCACATAGTTGATAACAGTTTTCTAAGACACCATGAGTATATCCAAGATGATATAAGCCTCTATCTAAAACTTCCAGAACTTTACAGAGAAGTGATCTTTTATCTATATTTGTTCTGTCTATTCTAGAAATGTTGATTCAAATGCAGTCATCAATATCAAATACCAATCATCATTTCTTATTCTTATTATTCACAAGATTTTTTATCAAGTCTATATTGTGCTAAACTTATTGAATTGCCAACTCACGTAAAATAGTATGATTCCATCTTGTCTTATCTATTCATAATATGTGCAAATATAAAGTGCAACATAATTAATACTCTTAAGTTGAGAACAATGTAATTTCCTATCATCAACTTTAATACTGGTAGTATTTTCTGCAATACTCACATTCTCTCTTTTATTCTAAATTTACATTTGTATTAGTAATCATATAGAATACATTATTTTGACTACTACTTGCTACTTACATCTCTTTCTCCATCATCTCCTGTAGATTGCTCTACTCTAGTAGTTATATTCTCATTTGTATATATTGCTCTCTCTTCATTGTCATCAACAAATTGATCTGAATCATTATCTACAATCATGCTAACAGGCAATTTCTCTTCATCATGAATTTCTAGACTGAATAATATGTTGACTAGAGCTAACATATTTCATGATGCTTATTCAAATACCAACTGATAAGATATTTGTTTAGTAATAGTACACATCTGTATATTGATCACCTCTATAGTATAAAATTAGGTATAAATTAAATAATGTCAAATAATATTAATGTCTATTGCTTTATATCCTTATAGATCACAAAAGGCAATCCTGTACTCTAATCACTTTTTCTATTCTTCTCAAGTCATAAGGATAGCTTTATCTTCAGTACATTATTTTCTTTTTCAATTAATCTTTACAATTAGAAGTAATGCAGTCTACTATTAATTATTTTTGTTAATGGTCAAAGCATAATTATTTCTTTTATTATGGATATCATGAATTCTTTTCCATTATTAGACTATAAAATTATTGATATATCAAATTGCATGAAGATACTTAATAGAAAGTCTGCCACATATTTTGCTTTCTTGTTGGTAAGTGGACAAGTCCATGAATATTGGGTAAAGTAATTTTTTACATGTGTAATCTACTTATAGTTTACATCTAATCTTGTACATATATCTATTAGATCAATCTATAATAAAATGATATTACAAGGTTTTTAATTAATTATTTAGAAGGAGGCTGAATTAACTTTGACAAATTATTATTATTACTTATAGACATATCATAAATTCTAATATGATTATAAGCTATATAGTAGATGATATTGATAATTAACAGTAATTTACATATATATTATATGTATTAATGAACTTTTGTATTATAATATGAGATATATAGCTATATTAAATAATAATCTTTGAAAAGGATTTGTAGTTAATTGAGTAATAATAAATGTTAATACTAATTTAATTATCCAATCTATAGCTTTGTATATTTTATGATAATCTGTATATTATAATTCTTGATATAATTGACTAATAACATTATATAAGTTATTTTTTAGATAAATAACTTTTAATAACTCTTTATCTACTAGCTATATAGTATCATTTATCTTCAAAGTTAAGAAATACTTACATGATTAATAACATAAGTTTCTATCACTTGTAGATTCTTCATTTAATAAAATTGACTTGGCTTTATCAGCAAGTTTTTATATAATTAAAGCCTTCACTTGATGATTCAATGGCAATAAAGTAATATACTTATCAAGAATATAATTGAATGTTTCAATAGAGATAAAATTGAATATGATTTTTAATATAGTATTAATTGAAATATAGTAAAGTTTAGCAAGCAACTTTAAAATTTAACAGAACTATTAGCTATTATTTATAAACTTTTCTTTCTTATTTATTTGGTTGATGTTTATTATCAATGAAAACAAGATACAAAAACAAGATACAAAAACAATTCACTAATATTTTGTATAATAATTACATAATTTTTATTTTTTTTTCTGAAATCATATAATAATTATGTGATTTTTATTTTATTTTTATTTTTTTTTCTCTAAGAATGTTATGAGCAACTTATATAATTAAAACTTGTATCTGAATATTTAATTTTATTATTATTATTTACTCTTATAATTATCTAATAAATGTAATAATTATATTAATTAATGGTATTAGTTGGGTGACAAAATTGCATATTATATTAAATAATCAGTGTAATATTTTGATATGGACCAGTCCAAGTCAAAATCATGAAATAGGCCAGGGGATAATTGAACTATTTTAGAATGGGCCAAATTTTGATTTGATCCAGAACATATATATCTTATCTCTTTATTTTATTTGTTTGTTTATTAATTTTTTGCTTCAAAACTTATAATTATATACTAAAGTATTAAATAAATTATAAGCAGAATTTAGATAGAATTTATAAAATCTCAAAGATATATAAATATCTCTATTTTCAAATATAAAATAAATATACTTGAATAGTAATAATTTAATTATCTTTAAAAATACTTGAGTTATACTTATCTTGTAATTTTTTTTTGATTTTTATCTTGATATTTTACTTTCAATTATCTTTTTTATCATAATAAATTATATTCTGGTTAGTTACATATTTTTCTTGTCTGAAAAATATAAATAGTAAATATCTTTTATTTAAAATAAGCCAAGTATATTTTATTTAATTTATAAAAATTCTTATAAGCTTTCTTATATATAAAAGCTTTATTTTGTTTTAATATATACTCTTTATTTACCTAATAGTTGAAAAGATACTATTAGAGAATTTAGTTAGCATACTAAATTTTTTATCTTAGTTATAGTAATTATTATTTAGTTTTTGATATCTATTTATAAGTTTAGTTTTCATAATCACAACTTTCTTTTTATTTTATTTTGCTTTTGTTTTATATTAATATAATACTCATAAGTATTAGTACTTAAAAATCTTTAAAATAATTATAATTCTCTTTATCTTTATAAATAATTTAATTTTATTCTTAAAACTTATTATAGACTATATTTCTGATAAAATCTATCTTTATGAATATAGTTTATAATATTTAATATCTTTTCTATAAAACTCAAACTTCTAAAGATTTCTTTTAATTCATTTTTATTATTTTTATTTATTTATTTATTATTTTAAGGATTAGCTACTCTTAGAATATTTATTATCTAAATAATTAATTAGTTTATGAGTATATATTACTCTTTTATTAAACTTTTAATTAATTTATATCTTAGTGAATATAATTGAAAAAACTCTTGAGAATTTTTATCTCATATTGAACTATATAATTACTATTCTTATTATTTTTCTGCTAATTAAAATTCAGATAAAAGATTTATAAATTTTCTTATCTGAATTCAAAATTATCATATGATCTCTTATAATAAAATATTATAAAAACTTTTCAATAATATAATATAATAAAATCTTATACCTAATCAAATTTGATAAGAAATTGTTAAGTTACTTAATACTTTTATATTAATATAAAAATTATAATTAAATAATAAATCTATTTAGTTAATAATATTCTTTTAATTCTTGAAAAAATAGATCATTTTAAAATTTCTTTAATAAATCAATTAATAAAATCAGAATATAAAAGTAATAATTTTGAAAATTCTGAAGAATTAATAGTTATAACTAAAGAAATTTAATATTAAACTCTCAATTAAAAGAATTAACTATGTCAAATAGAATAAAAAGTCTTATTTAAGCTCTTAAAAAGCTAACTTAATTCATAAAGATTCAAAAAACTAAAAAGATTCTTATTTTAATTCATAAATTTAGAAATAATAATTAGAATTCTATTAAATAATTACATGATTTTGAAATAGTCATAAAAGCTAATGAAATTACTAATAAAAAGAAGATTAAGATAATAAGAAAATATCTAGAAAGATCAGCTACTATCTAATTTAATTAAGAAACTATAAGTAATACTCTCAAATTAACTAAATAGACTACTAAAGAACATGATAAATATAATTTTACTTATTAATTTACTCTTAAATTTTGTTTATCTTATAAGATATAATAATAACAAGATGAATAGAAATCTTTAAAGCAAACTGAAATTATAGAAGAATATATTAATTAATTTATAAAACTTAAAAATAAAGTAAATTCAAAGCAAGTATATTTAGAAGAATATAAGATTCAAATTTTCAAAAAAAAATTTTAAATCTGAAATTTGAAAATAAATTAATTTGAATCCTAAAGATACTATGAAAAGTATTATTAAAACTATTAAGAATATTGAAAAAGCTAATTCAGTTCCTTTTAAATAAATATATCATAAACTTAAGCTTAATCAACTGATAAATAGAGTATTTTTGCTAAGATTTTACAAGATTTAATTAGTAGATTAGATTATATAGAATCTAATAAAAGATATAATAATTAGAATAATAATAATAATTAATAATAAGAGATAAATTTAGTATTACCTATTATAATTATGAAGAAAAAGAATATATTAATAAAGTATATCCAACTATCTTTCAATCTGAAAACTTCTAATTCAATAATCAAAATATTTCTTGAAATTAAAATAATCAAAATCAGAATAATAATATTAATAATGATATTCAATAAAATCAGAATATCCAAAATAATAAATAGCAATTTAATAACTCTCAAAATCTGAATATTACTTCTTTTTTAATCTAAATTCAGAATTTAATAACTATTTTACAAGCATTTACTAGTGAATCTTTAAGTAATTCATTTATTTAATCTAGTTTTTTTTTATTAGTAACTTATAATTATCTTGCTAAAGAAAGAAAATATACAAGAATTATTAAAGAAGAAGAAAAAAGTAAGAAAGAAAATAAAGTTACTTAATCTTTATCAGAAGTTTTAGAAGAAGACAAAATCAATTTGAAGAAAAAGAAATGAAAGAAAGAAAGAAAAAGCTTATCTTCTAATTTTTATAAAGAAAGCAAAATCTATGATATACTTGAGGATTTGATATTTCAGAAAGTTAATATTATAATTACATAACTTATTAAGATCTTACCTAAATAAAAAATTTGAATATTAAAAGGAATAAGAAAGAAACTATAAAAGAAATTAAAATAAAAAGTTATATTTACTTAAAAGATTGAAATAATTTCAGCCTGATGTAAAGTCAAGATTGACAAGATTTTTGTAAATTTAATTATTGATACTGAAGTATTAGAATATATTATCAGTTATAAATTTCTCAATCAACTTGAAATAAAAATTTAACAAAAATTCAATATCTTTATATCTAATATAAATAGATATTCTAAATAATTTACTTAGAGTAATTGATAACTTTTCAATTATTATTAATAGAATTATAATTCTAGTAGAAGTAGATATTACAAAAACTTGTATTTATAGTCTTATTATAAGAATAAATTAATTAAATAAAATTAATATTAAAATTGATTTCAAGAAAAATATTATGATCTTTAACTGAAATAAAAAAGAAAAAAGAATATTAATCAAATTTATTTATGAATAATAAAATATTTAGCCAGAAGATAGTAATGATAACTCTAAAATATCTTTAAGTAAAATG